TTCGAATTTCGTCTATGCATGTGCTGTTGTGTTCCTCGTGTTGTTTCTGGCTGTGAATCTACCACCACGGTAGCAATCGGTTGACGTCCAAAACTTCGCCTCCAGAAAACCCCGGTGGCCGGGGTCCCTCTTGCCCGCATTGTTCTTTCCTCGCCGTCGATTTCCGTAAGCGAAGGGCGAAACTTCGAGAGTCGGGGCTACCTACCGGTAGTTGGATCTGGGCCCGGGCCGAGGTCCCACAACCGGTAGTAGCAAAGAGGATCATTGAATGCATTAAGCTCCTGAATTTGGACGTCCTTTAAGCGGAGATGCAGAAAAGCAGTTCAATCTCCATCTTCTGCACCTCTCCRAWAACACGTCCAGATTCAGGTGTTCGATCCAATCTTCTTCGCTAGTGGGACATGGCCCCGGTCGTACTCGTGCTCAGAATATGGACGAAATTCCTCTGACATGAAGTCCAAAAAAAAAAAAAAAAAACAAAAAAACTTCTGCTGTGAGTGTGCCACGTCTTTCCCGCCACAGAGCTAGGCTGTCGCAAGAGACGAAAACTGACCGAATCTTGGGTGTCATTCAGGCGAAATCAGACCGCTATCGAGAGAGAGAGTGTGTGGGAATTCTACTACAATTTCAACCCCTGCCGTCTGAGACTAAGATGCTGCGTTTGTGCCATCTCAAAGTGTGTGATCTTTTTCATCGCGCACACAGACTCACCCTCAAGTATATATAGACGGCGTGTGCTAGTGGAGAGAGGCAGAAAGCAAGGGAGGTAGACACCTGAGCAGCGTAGTACGGACACGAAGGAGGGAACTTAGATGTACGTGCCTACGGAGTACGGATCGATTTCGTTGGGACTGCGATTTGCTTCTGAGTGTGCGCGCACTAATACTAGTACAGAGTCCGGAGCGAAGGGAGAGTCTGAGAGGGGTGGGTGTTCTTGCTTCAGAGCGAAGGAGAGGCCACACTGTCAGCCGGCTTGTGAGTGAGGAAGTGTGTGGTTCAACTTGGTGGAAGGAACAAGTCGAGAGCAATGGAGGGGAGTGGTAGTCGCTTCCCCGTTTTGGCTGCTGTATGTGCGATTGCCTTGGTCGTTCTGCTAGCTGTCTCGCCGGTGGCGAATGGCAGCTGTCCGTCGAACCAGTGCGACTTCCACTGCTCAAAGCCTCCAAATAAGAAAATTCCTTTCGTCACGCTTTTTAAGAAGGGAGATCACAAGTACGAGTGCGGCCTCGTGCATAAGATTGGGYAAGTTGGTTCTCGACCAAACAAGCACGCCTCCTCCTCAGCCCAGCCTTTGCATATCCCTTCCTTATAATCAGCAGTGATCATCATAATGGGGAGTGTTGTGTTGGGGGCGCAATAACCTACTAGCAGTGCTCGTACTGGTGCTGCCGCCGCCGCTGCTGCTGCTGCTGCTGCTGCTGTTGTGTTTTCTCCTACTCTTCTTGCCAGTGCTGCTGCTGCTGCTGCTGCTGCTGCTGCTGACCACCTCCTCCTGTCGCTGCCTCTCCTTCGCTACCTTGGGTGTCATTGGCACGGCCAGGCATCAACTTCCCTGTAGAGAGAGGCTGTCCGCACTGCGTACGAGCTGTTCCCAGGGCGTACTCACCACAGGACTGTTCTTGCCGAATCGGGGTGTATATGCATATGTAGCAAGAAATTCTTTGTCTGGGCGCACCCTTCGTTATGCATGTGCCAAGCCATGCGATGCTATGCKCCAGCGCCGTTGACTGCCACACACTAGATGCACACCCATAGGTAGGCGACTACGATCCCTGTTTACGAATTGTCTTTAAGTTTGTGTTTGAATAAAAAAAACTCCGACCCCTTAGGAGGCTATCCTCTTGTTCAATCCTCTGGCTGCCTGACGGGTACGAATTCAACTWTGACGCTGGTGAAGGTCTTCGTACCTACCTGTCCTTTTTTTTTTTCCGCTCTGTGTGCAGGGCTCAGACCAAGAAGGTGAGGGTTGCCAACTCGTTCAAATGCGAAATGCGCAATCCGATGAAGGCCAGCCCGTACTCCGACAAGCCGTGCGACAACAATCTGTACGTCAGCGATTCCGACGTCGCGTCCCGAACGTTCAACCAGGGATTCCGAATCATTGACATGTTCCTCGGCAACTGCATCAAGATCTACATCGGCTCCGCACAGTACAAGGATGGCAGCAACTACAATCGCGGCAAATCCAACTCGAAGTCGTGTGYCATGGTGGAGACCGACGATCACTTCATCTGAGAGAGAACGACAAGTCTCGCCTTGTGCGCTCAGGCAAAGCGTTCTTCGTTCACGCGCCTGGTAATATCCTGCCCGCCCAAGAAGAGCTGGGCGATTCAGAAGCGGTGATGGAGGGACTCGATGCCTGGATCTCCTGCCCGATCTGCCGGCACTCACAAGACAGCTTCTCAGGAGCGACCGAGAAGTCCTCTCCTCTTTCTTTGGGAGGTGCAACGTGGTGGTGGTTTGTCTCACAAGGCTGGCTGTTTCTTCTTCGTACGGTGACTGGCAGAGCTGAAAGTGTACTCACTCACTAACTGATTTACATTCGCTCAGTAGAACCTCCTTGACTTGTAGCTGAAGTCTCTGTAATTCGTAATCGATGGCTATAGTTTTTTCTAGCTGTGAATCACGATAATGATGATGATGATGATGATGATAGTATCATATCAGACAGACAGATTCAACTGGAACTTGCAGGCTAAGGCAGATCCCGCTGACAGTGGCTAATTTGTGTGTGTCGGGTACTAGGTGCTAATATTAAGTGATAGACGCTGCGTCAGGGGGAGCTTGAGTCATGCAAGGCTTGTGAGTCGGAGAGGAATTCGTAAGATGTACGTACGTTGGCTCAGTAGGGAGCTCACARGTTGGCAGCGGCAGGCAGGTGAGTAAGAGTATTTATTAGTTACTCCCGTAGGGTTTTTTTGGGCGGGGAGGTATATAGCTCGTGTCTAATATGTCTGGACTAAGAGAGTCAATCGAGTACTAGGTGCGCATCAGAACTGAAAAGGAAAACAAACAGCAGAAGCCAGAAGATGACTACCGGCAGTGTACAGCATGAATGAATCGTCAGGATCTAAGGAGGACTGCTGCATGATTATGCGTCGTGGCAACTCGCATAATAGAAGCTGATGCGAAGCTGCCGAAGCAGAAAKAGGCATGATGGTATGACCTGCAGCCTGGTGGTTAACGACTTASCTGTGTGCAATAAGTTTAYGTYTGTCACAAATTGTCAGCATACTTGAACGCTTGGGAACAAATGCAGTTCGGCCTGAACAAAAATGTGGGCCAGCCGGCCAAACGGGCTCGTCTCAGTTTTCTTCCCTGACTATACGCCCATTTTCTTTCTTCTGTGTTGACCATCTCCGAGCCTTCTCTCTTCCTTAATTTTGTTCTTTCTTTACCCTCTTCCCTTCTGGGCCCTTTAGGCCTCGCTGGGTATCAGTGGGTAAAAGGAAAGGGACTCATTGGTACCACCTCTACCTCTTCTTCTTCAATCCCTGGCCGTCGATTCTGAAAGTCTCTCCCTTCCTCCCTAAGTCTCTCCGTCTCTCGTCTCCTCCTGCTCTCCCTCACTCCCTTCCGACGTAAGAGTAGTGCCTCCTGCTTCCTCCCTTGTGCTGTACCTCCCTTCCCTCCCTCGTCGTTTCTTTCCCCTCTTTTTTCTTACGGATAATTGGTAGAAAGCGTCCACACCAAACACCAAAACCTTCCCGGTTTTGGCCGCCCGAAACTCGGTCGTTTGGTACTACAGGCCCAATGTTTTCCATGTGGGGTACTACAGGCCCACGCGTTGCTCCAAGGGCCCTACCGGATCATGAATCTGGCACATACACAGGGCCAGATTCATTTTAATGCCGAAGAGGCTGGACGTTCCAGGGCCCGGTGGGGGGG